TATTCTCATTATTCCTCATTATTCCCCTCATAGATGAGTTTTCCTTAAGTGTAAGTCTCTGGTTCTTATGCAAGGATAGCTCATTGCTCGGAACGTCACTATTTGTATCAGGGATATCATACTGTCCTTCAGTGGATTCTTCTCCACTCTCTCCAGATTCAAACTTAGTAATATCTCTTCTTGGCTCTGGGCAGCCTTCGTCAGTATCCTCGCCATCAGGAAACTCCATCATCTCTGTGTCATCCGCATCCACATTCCTATCAAACATCGTTTTTTTCGGTCTTATATGAATCTCCCCTTATGTTGTACCTATCTATCTCAGGTTTACTCCTCTGTGAGTGGCAGGAGGAACACAGCATTATCTCTTCTGCCTTTTGTTCCTGATCCCTGAAGTAAATTCTCAAATTAGGATAATCGATAATGGCTCCGCTTGCAGATAAATACTCTGACCCAAGGATACCATCAGGGGCAATATCTGCTACCGCTATATTCATGGGCATCACTTTACCATCTAGTTCAATGTCACATGATATCACCCCAAACATAGCTAAATGGGATCCATCTGCCTGTGTGAAGAGTCGATCTAAGGGTCTCAGAGGAGGGCGATGCTCTTTTGGAATACGATTGTAGCAACCCCAGCCTATCATAGTGCTAACAGCCCCTGAATCAACAAGGAATTCCATCCCAGTGCCACAGATATCCACATCTGCTACTATCTTCCGCACCAGTTCCTCTCTATTCCCTGTAGTTATCTCCTCATAACGATCTGCCATAAACCTCACAGGAGTCACAGAATTGGTGGTTACTGTCCTGGACTGATCTTTCTCTCTTTTTGGCTTCTTAGGTAATGGACAGTCAAATGACAAATGCCCAGGTTTGTCACAATTATAACAGGTAATTGTTGGACACCATCTTACTCTATGTCCCTCCTCTCCGCACTTTTTACAACTGAATGTACGTTTAGAAGGTCCTCTGTTAGCGATATCGGCTATATCCTTACTCATCTTTCCCAGTGTCTTTTCGAGTAACTGCTCCACTGGTTTTAGTATTTGCTGCAGTTTAGTACTTATATCATCTTCCTCATCAACTTGCAAGATTTTATGATCCCTCTTAGATTTTAGGCCTCTCCTGATTCTTTCCGATTCCTGGTAGCTTTCCTCTTTGAGAGCTACCTCAATGGCCTTATCAAGTGTTTCTGGATCCTTCCTGTGAATGGCTTGTCGCAAATCATCATCTGGTATGGCTTGCTCAAAGCTCCTTCTGGCAAGCCTATCTTGAGCCATCCTGCTCATCTCAGGATAGGCTAACGAAGCTAAACGCCGAATATTCTGGCCCAAACTCTGAAGGGACTCCTTTGGCTTTCGTGTGCGACTGCACAACTCAGCCTCAAACACGTCGGCTTTCCCCCCTGGTCCAAATCTCTTTTCAAGGGCCTCTATTAAGTCCTCATAGGAATAGCCCTCTTCCAGTTCAAGCACCAATTGTTGGGCGTCTCCACGAAGATTAGTAGCCAAATACTGCCTTTTCTCCTCTGGAGTCCAGCCGTTATTCTCTACGCAAGTAGCAAAGTAAGCCCTGTAATCTTTCCAAGGTGTACTTCCATCAAATGTTTGTGTTGGCTTTATGTGTACATGTGAATTCTTGTTTGACTTTATTAACTCCGTGCACATGTCCAGAACTTTGGTAACAATCACTGACTCAGCTGCTTTCTCCTCTTTCACCTCTGGAGCTAATCCTTCTGTAGATACTCTCTGCTGGGTACCTCTACTAAGGTCTGGATTCGGAACATTACCAATGAGTTCCTTTGGTTGCCTTCTATCCTGATGATCAGGAGGGCATTCCATCGGAGGCTGAAGGGAATGTCTCCCACTTCTCCTTATCTCACTCCTGTCGAGTACTCCTGCATCATGGAATTCCCCAACCCCTTCCTGGGCCAACTGCTCACGGGAGTATTGGGAAGGTTCCTGATAAGTCTCCTCTCTGAGCAATGGAGCAGACCTTCCCTGCTCTCTCAGTTGCTCAGAGTAACCCCTTCCATATTCTTGTGACAGTGTCAACCTATCACCCCCCATCTTAGCTTCATGTGACCATCCTTTGCCAAGATGTGATGCTAATTCCTCACCAACATACCGATCCTGTCTCTGAAGTGATGGCCTCTTCATATATATGCCAGAACATACATCTCCTTGCAGCTGAGTATTTACTCTGCCTGGAGTATGTGGAGAGTCATGTCTACTCTTCTGCTCTAGCTCTTGATCTGCAGCCATTGTATTCTTGTAACTCTGCTTTTGTTTACTCCCTGACTCATCGTATGTGAAACAACTGTCACTCTTGGCAGTAGGGAGACGCTGCATTATTTCAGACAGAAAGCCCTTTACTTCCTGCTGGCCTTCATGATGACTTGTATTCAGTCTCTCTAATTCTTGATGTAACTCCCTTTTAAGATTTTCCTTACCTGAGTAGACTTCCCTTCTCAGATCCTCATACATATTTCTGTTTTGTTGGTCCAGAGCCTTCATTTGACTGTTTAAAACAGACATCTGCAATTGCTGACTCTGTAGCTCCTGTTCAATTGGCATAATTACTCCTGGAGATTTTCCATCTAGTACAGTGGATGTTAAAGGGTAACCTCTCGCTGGTGTCATCCCATAACCTTCTCCCTGTACTGTGTATTCAGTCTTAGATCTCGCTCCTGCTGGATTTTCCTCTGCTTGTCTTGCAGATTCGGTTCCACTAAATGTGTCTCTTCTGACTGGCACTGTATCATCAAGCCCAATATCCATTTGAGCATTATCTCCTTGGAAGAAGACAGTGTTATCAGCAGACTCCTCCTCCTGTCTTCTCCCTTCCGTCTGGGATTCCATGTATTCCATCCCTTCCTCTGGTTTAGTTGCCATATTCTCTTTTGGACGTCCTCCCTAAGCAAATCCCGACGCTGCCACCAATGTCGGACCTGGCCAAAATGTGGTAGTGTGGAGAGGTCAAGTCACTGACAATTATTTTATTATGGGATTCTCACAGATTATCTACGTGGGCGCAGACCTGGTTTGGTGGTACTGCGGCTTAAGAAAACATACATGACAAGAATTAATGGCAACAAACACACATATATTTATACAATTACAATAAAAATTACAATAAAATATCAGTTTACGCAAATAATGTATGTCTAATGTCTTTATTTATTCTCCTATACTCAAAGAGTAATCTCAAAGTCCTTATTATTGCTCATATGCTCTAATAAAATCAAACTCAAATGTCTGTCATCCCCAAATTACTCTAAAACTAATATTAATCACAATGTCCAGAAATTATATACACTCTGCTGCTTCGTCTCTTCTAGGGTCGTTGCTCTGGTTACTCCTCACATCAAAATTAATAATACTCCTGGCTATTCTTCAGCTTACTTCAATTTACTCTTGGTTTCCTCAAGATGCTCCTCCTCTGCTAATATGATTACTCTCAATTTACTCCTCCTGCTCTCAATTTACTCCTCCTGCTCTCAAATTACTCCTTGATTACTCTCTCAATTACGCCTAACATCCGGTAACTCCTTAATTGCTCTAAGGATCAGATGACTCCACAATTACTCCTACGATCACTCCTTACTCCTTCTGCTCCCAGCTTACTCCGGGCTCACTCTACTCACAAGTTACTCCCAATTGCTCTTCAAATTACACTTTCCACTCTCAGATTACTCCTGGCTTACTCTCTGTTAGTTCCGCGGAGAGTAATAATTACTCTCAGCTCACTGGTAGATTATGTAAGGCCAATGAGTAAACCTGAATAAATTAGCTCTTACAATAAGAGTGAAACAATGCTGGAGATGAGTAATTCTAATGAGAAATGAACAATCTATATTACTCCCTGATAATCCACATGAGGAGCAAAGGCAAAAGATCAATTTACTCCACAGCTAGCAAAACTATGCAAAGTTAACTAAAGAAACGTTGGGAAAGTAAAGTAAGGAGTATTTGTTCAGACAAGCTAAATGATAATGAATTAATTTGTTACAGAGATATGGATTCCCCTTGTATTAGCAAAAGTAGGAAAATACCAAAAGCACAATTATGAAAAGGTTATTCTCGATCTCAAACTGATGTAAGCATAAAAATACTGTATAAATCAGGTTCTGATCAACAATAAACAACACTGATTCCCAGTCACTCTCTGGTAGTTCCGCGGGAAGTACCAATTACCTCCAGCTCACTTTTAGATGCCGCAACTGAGAATCAAATGTACAGGCTTAGATATCAAACACTTGGAAGACAACACTGGCAGCCAGATGGAAATATTTAGCTTGGAATTACAAAGTTAAAAGCACATAAATGCACCTTTCATAAAGTCTTATAAATAATTCACTGTTTCTCAAAATAATAGATGATCAGCACATCATCATCCTCAACATCATTTGAAGCTATGGAATACGAGCCATAGAAAAAGGTAACCTTACCACATGCGTCTTCCTGCTTCTAGATACCTTACTCCCAACTTCAGGTCATCAACAGGTAGTCACACCACACATGGCCCTGATTCTCTCCCGCTTTTCCCTCTCCAAAACGTCCAATAAACCTACTTCCGTGTAGATTAAACTGCCTCAACAACAGCACAAAATACTTCTCGAATAAATGTCACTATCCTTAATGACAGATTACACTTATCTCCTACGATATCTCCACAAGTTTCAGCATCAATCCAAAGCTAAATGGCCGCCATCTTCCTCACGCTTCTTCTTTTTCAAGCCCCAGGTTCAACTATTGTAAATCAGGGATCCCACGTGACCAATTTTAGGGGAAATACCCTTTACCTTTCGGTCCAGTGTAATTAATAACTCCCGGGAGAGTCCCTCTTATATTGTTAATGACATGTAACAATTAACTTTTAAATTTATTAAAGATTATTACAATTTAATTAAAATAACATAAAGTGGGGAATTCCTAAATTTCCCACAATAGAATAGACAATGGACAAACGTATTAATATTAGAAAATTAAACTCACCTCAACATTTTCCTCTAGTTATCTGAGGTCTACATAGAAAATCTGAAGTATTTATCCTTCAGCAATGATTATCATATACTTTATCTAAATATCTAAAGGGTGAGCCAATAATACAACCCAAACAAATCTTAATAACTCATTCATCCAGTATGGGTTTTGAGTATTTTTTCAAATGAAATTTCAAATGAATTCCGCCTTCCATTGGTCATGTTGGTCTATCTCCTTTCCACAAAGTAAAGAAATTCGATAATTTCCGCTGCGCTGATTGGCTGTATGCAAATGAGCGCAATCGATGACGTCAATGGGTTGTGGTGATTTAGTAGATAAGGTATACGAATATTTAGAGATAATTGCAATAAAAATGACTATAGTAGTACAAAGCAGTAAATATTTGTAATTAATAAATAATGAAATATGGACGGGGCACTTTCATTCGGATTCTTATATAATTTGATTTAATCAAATTTTGACAGAATTTGTGTTTTAAAGACTTATAATTCACGGATCAGCCTCACTTAACTCATGCGATTGTAAACAAACAAAGTAAAAATGAACAAGCAAATCAAGTTAAATTTTCTGATAGTTACTTTTATGCCAGGGTTGTTACAACCTCAATAACACTTAGGATGCACCTGACCACTATACCATATTAATTAACTCATCACTAAATTCCATATTATATGTCATAATGGTTATGAATGGCCTGGGGGCATTTTTATATACTTAGTATGACGGATCCTTTCCAAAAATCATCTTACCTAACCCTACTATCACACCAAACTAGTTCTCACTACGTTCTCGAAAACGGGCTTCAACTGTGTACGAACGGACTGGACCTACTAAGAACCGTTTGGGATCTATTTACAAACGTCATCGAACGTACTCGAACGGGTAGGTCCTCTAGAACTCAGACAATGCTCAAAATGTTCTCGTGGTCGTCACGTTCTACAATTAGAACGAGTGAAAACGTACTAACGACGAGCTGGACGTACTACGAACGGAACCGTCGTACTTCAATCCTACTAGGGACGTTTTAACAACGAGTTGAACTGTCTGAGGACGTGTTTAGAACGAGGTAGAACTAATTGCAAACGGGTTTAAACTGATTAAGAACGTATTTAACACTGCTTATGAACGAGTTAGCAAAAATATAGCTATCACACCAAACAAGTTGCCACTGCGTTCTCCAAAACTGTGTGCGAACGGAATGAACGCAGCTGCAACTTTCTAAGGTCTATTTACGAACTTTATGAACGTTCTTAGACGGGAATGTGATTTTAGAATTTTGAATCGATGGCGACCATGCCGTTCTGTTATCAGGTCATGTTGACCTTCTAGACTAAGGGACGCGTTCTACTACGTTGCACACCGACGTGGTGCGACCTGAACGAACTGCGAACGAGATGGACGTATTGAAGACTGTTTAAGAACGAAGAAGCTAATTATTTCAGACATATTTCCCGACCACAGCCAGATTGAGCCCGTTTTACGTCGTTTTCGTAGGACTGGCAAGAACGGGTAAGAACTAGTTTGGTGTGATAGGGGGGTTACCAAGGAACATCGAAAGAGCATGACATGAGTACTTTTTGCATTGTTAGAGTATGATAAGGAAACTACAAAAAGAGATTATGATAGCTCCAAACAGTCACAGTACTTAAAATTCAAACACAGTTGTTATTGTGTAAACAGTCCATTAAACATTGCAATCTAATTAATTTATAATTATAGAAAACTATTTTCACTGCAAACAACAATATAATTAACCAGATGAATGGTTTCCCATTTTAGTCCATTTGTCATTTGTCATTTTCCTGAACGTTGAAATATGTAAATTTATGATGTTTTATTGTGTTATCACTTTTCGAACATTACTGTATTCACGCCTTCTATAAACTGTGAACAAAGTCAATATTTCATCCGGGTTATATTCGCGAGCAATGCCCCTGTTAATACGAGTATTGTGTGACGGCATAACGGCGGTACGTAGTAATGGCTGACCATAATGAATATTCGAAACATTTTGGTGAGTTTTCATGTTCGAATCGTAATACAGACCTCAGAGTAGGTGTAATATGTGAAGAAAAGGTTTGTGCCTAGCCATGCGGGATGTATTCGACAATATTACCCCTGCTCTTTGGTCTATATTTCTTAATTATTAGGGATTTATGAAGATTTATTCAACTGGGGTGCACAAAATCAACTCCGGGGAACAAATTATATGTGCAAATGAAGGTGGTCATTATCGAATAAGTGATTATCTTCAATATTTTGAAAACTAAGCACAGATAGGCCTACATCATAATATCGCTGTCTAAACCCAGGTTTTCAGGGCCAGGGTATAAGATGAAATTATGAAAATCAAGATTAGAACAATTATTTTATTGTTAATGCGAGACAGGGCAACCATTATCGAAATAGTGATTACCTTCAATATTTCGTAGACTAGGCATAGTAGCATCACCATATTGGTATCTAAACCTAGGTTTTGACAGTCAAAGAATAAGATACCTAAAAAAAAGATTAAAACAATATTGATTGTGATTATGCAAATTATGGCAGCCATTATCGAAATAGAAATTACTTTCAATATTTCGCAGACTTAGCATAGTAGCATCACAACACTGGTGTCTAAACCTAGGTTTTGAGAGTCAAAGAATAAGATACCTAATAAAAAAGATTAAAACAATATTGATTGTGATTATGCAAATTAGGGCAGCCATTATCGAAATAGTAATTATCTTCAATATTTCGCAGACTTAGCATAGTAGCATCACAATATTGGTGTCTAAACCTAGGTTTTGAGAGTCAAAGAATAAGATACCTTAATAAAAAAGATTAAAGCAATATTGATTGTGATTATGCAAATTAGGGCAGCCATTATCGAAATAGTAATTATCTTCAATATTTCGCAGACTTAGCATAGTGGCATCACAATATTGGTGTCTAAACCTAGGTTTTGAGAGTCAAAGAATAAGATACCTTAATAAAAAATATTAAAGCAATATTGATTGTGATTATGCAAATTAGGGCAGCCATTATCGAAATAGTAATTACCTTCATTATTTCGCAGACTTAGCATAGTGGCATCACAATATTGGTGTCTAAACCTAGGTTTTGAGAGTCAAAGAATAAGATACCTTTAAAATAAAAAAGATTAAAACAATATTGATTGTGATTATGCAAATTATGGCAGCCATTATCGAAATAGTAATTACCTTCATTATTTCGCAGACTATGCATAGTGGCATCACAATATTGGTGTATAAACGTATGTTTTGAGAGTCAAAGAATAAGATACCTTAATAAAAAAGATTAAAACAATATTGATTGTGATTATGCAAATTAGGGCAGCCATTGTCGAAATAGTAATTATCTTCAATATTTCGCAGACTTAGCATAGTAGCATCACAACACTGGTGTCTAAACCTAGATTTTTGAGAGTCAACGAATAAGATACGTTAATAAAAAAGATTAAAACAATATTGATTGTGATTATGCAAATTAGGACAGCCATTATCGAAATAGAAATTACCTTCAATATTTCGCAGACTTAGCATAGTAGCATCACAACACTGGTGTCTAAACCTAGGTTTTGAGAGTCAAAGAATAAGATACCTAATAAAAAGATTAAAACAATATTGATTGTCATTATGCAAATTAGGGCAGCCATTGTCGAAATAGTAATTATAAACCTAGGTTTTTGAGAGTCAAAGAATAAGATACCTAATAAAAAAGATTAAAACAATATTGATTGTTATTATGCAAATTAGGACAGCCATCATCGAAATAGTGATTACCTTCAAGTTCAACATTTCGCAGACTTAGTATAGTAGCATCGCAATGTCTAAACCTAGGTTTCCAGGGTGTAAGAATAAGATACCTTAATGAAAAAATTAAAATATATTGATAGTGATTATGCAAATTGGGATGGCCATTATCGAATTATTGATTGTCTTCAATATTTAAGAAAAAAACACAAGTTAGAATCACGATACTGGAGTCCTAACCCAGGTTTACAGGTTCGACTAATAAGATGAAATGTACCCTGCTCGCAGACACCCTGGGTATAGTCTGTCACGTGACTTCATGGATGACGTGTGCGCGAGTGATTCGCATTTTCTTTCGCTTGAGGTTTGTAATCACACTTTTTACATGTTTTAAGATTTTGTATCTCTGTGAAACTTGTCCCGTACCATCAATGTCTGAAGACGATCTAATTCACCAAATATCTCATCCAAGCGTGTCCCGGTTAAAGAGAAATTCGCACTTTTGTGTCTCGCAAAATGACGTGTGCGCGAGTAAATCGAATTTTACGAAGGATGGGTGCGCGAGTCTAAAATATTTTTATTCACTTGAGACAATTCTGCAAGCTAAGGCAGAATACAACTCACGTGACATTTGTTTTTGTCATCTTAAAGTAGTATGTTAAAGAATAGTTTGCTATTTTGTAGATGTTTCATGTATGGCACATACATGTCTACGTTTAATGACAATAAATGTTTTGAAATAGCTTGTAGGGCTGTCCGGCATTGCAGGTGAATTAAAATTTGAACCAAAAATTGAATTAAATTTTTGGCGGTCTCATAAAACCGGCAGCATATTCATTTATTAACATCCCATACAAGGGGGGGGGGGGGGTCAGAGTTGTTATGTGGTTACTCGGCATCCGCCACGATCAGAACCATGTAAGGAATAGTAAGGGGAAGCCCATGATACCAAGTAATATCAAATAATTATAGGAGCTTCTAACTTCTTCCGCATCCCCACCCTTGGTATACGCAGCTGACAAAATGGATCGGTACGGGTCAAAAGCTGGACCGGTACGGGTTAACGGTTTTATTTGAATTTAAAACAGCTATAACTTGCTCAATATTGACTTCTTCGTATCTAAGTTGATATATATGATCCCTCCGAATGATTTTAAGTACCCCCAAAGTTCACCCGTACAGGTCCAGCTTTTGACCCATACCGGTCCATTTTGTCAGCTGCGTATACCAAGGGTGGGGATGCGGAAGAAGTTAGAAGCTCCTATAATTATTTGATATTACTTGGTATCATGGGCTTCCCCTTACTATTCCTTACATGGTTCTGATCGTGGCGGATGCCGAGTAACCACATAACAACTCTGACCCCCCCCCCCTTGTATGGGATGTCAATAAATGAATATGCTGCCGGTTTTATGAGACCGCCAAAAA